ATTTCAAAAATATTTTCTATATAAAATAAGAATCAAAATTTTTAAAAACTTTATAATATAATCACACATCATCATTTGATTCAATATGATGAATTAGTCTTGCCTTCGACTCTTTTGAAGTCTTTCAAAGTCTCAGTACTGGAATGTATCATGCGAGAGATTTGAAATTTGTGCATAATGGCAAAAAGAAAGAATTCCTCCTATTAATCGGTCATATTTGCAGTTAAATCCTAATAGAAAAATGGCTATAGAATGTTTTCTCTTTTCTCAAAATCTCTATAGTGAACTCATGTGATTGATCATTTGTTTATCAGAGCGCGAAACTGAATCGAATCAAGTTTGAAATGCCTGATTCGGCTGTTTTTTTCTTCGTTCATATCATGTAATAATGTGACACGTTAGTGAGGATTGATACGCATTTGTTAACTATGAACGTGTAATTAAATAATGAATATCTATGATACAATTTAATAATTCTATCGATAAATTAAACATTCTTTTTACATATTTATTGATAACTATACAAATAGTATTTTGTCTTAACAAATTTTATAATAGAAATAGTGTATTCATTGTTAACGATAGACATATATAAATAAAGCGATATGATTATCTGTTCATATCGATACTGTTTAATGATGCCTAATCATTTATTTTTTTTTCAAATGTTTTGGTTATTGCTTCTTAAGGCCCCCCTCCCCTTCAAAAAAATCAATTTTGATCAAATTTATCGATTTTGTGATTTAAAACTTATTAGATAGAGCAAAGTGTCTACTCTCGAATGCACTATAGTTGATTGATTTTATGATGAGCTTTAAGAATATTACATAAGTTTTTCTGAACCTCCATATTGGAAAAAATAAGGCTTTTAAAAACTTATTTTCCGTTTTACTCAAAATCAGTTTTTTCGAATATACCGTTTACGTGGGCACGACTTTCTTAATAACGACTCAATAGAGAAGGGATAATTTTTTCTTATTGCATAGAGGACAAGTGGGGCTAGATCCTAATAGAGCCCGATTTTTGAATTTCTCTTCTGCTGAAATAAAAAAACTTGAATCTTTCGTTTTGTTTAGCGACTTTTTTGTCCATGAATTCGAGAACTTTTCGAAAAACGTTTTTTAAAAAACAAACGAAGGGAAATTCAAAAATCGGACTCTATTAGGATCTAGCCCTAAGGGTACTCTACAATTTAAAAACCACGCCGACATGCTTAGCTAAAATCCTCATGTTGAAAACCTTGCCCACGTAAAGGGTATTTTTGACCAATGAATCGACTAGAACTTGTGCATATCTTTGAGATTTGGAGGAGATATTTTAACCGTAATCTATACTAGCCTAGACTAACATTTTCTGAAATTTTGGTTGAAATCGGATGAAAAATAACAAAGTTGATTTCTGAGGGCGGGGGGGGGGGGGCTTAATGTAAGATTATAAAGCAAACGATTTTCTATAGTTTTATGGTAAAATGTTTTGATTAATTTTCGTAGTAGTTGATTCTTGCTGGTTCAATTTTGTGGCATGCACTCAGATTGTGAAATTTCAACTGTTTAAGAAATAAGTACAGTCTCTTATTTCTAGAAACGATTCTCATTCGTTTCGTGCTCTATTACCTACCAATCAGATTTCGGTATACAGTAATGGCCTAAGACTTTCGCTTTCGAATGGTAAACCCTCCCAGTCTCTACGCATGCGATGAAAATCGGGCAAAACCTGGCGTTTTACCGGTCCGGTTACCCGCTTCTCTTAACATAGAAAAAACGCAGTTAACCGAAGCGAACTACTGGTTAACCAGGTTTTTTTAATGGTGAATCGGCGGTTTACCGCTAAAACTGATCGGATTCTTGTGACATGAGTACATTGTTTCTTTCAAACACTAGTAACATCCATCATCTTTTAAAAACTCTAAGACAATAATTTAAAGGGCTTAAAAAAAAACAATTCTACTCAAATTCAGAGATATTAAATATCAACAATATTTTTGCTTAACTATTCTAGGATCGTTTATTAAGTACATATAATCGTTTACAAAGTGATTCACATTTTCGTCGTCGAAAAAATCTTGAAGAACTTCATGCAAAATATGTTCATTTTGCTAATGAAGAATGTTATCCAAATTTAGTTCAAGTATTTATTGATTATAATGATTGGATACAACAACGTTTAAATCTTATACATTCATATCAATCAATTCAACAATCATATGAAAAACAATGTGATGATATAATGCATTATGTTGATTCATTTGAAAATGTTCGTACAGCTGTTTATAATAATATTCGTGAATTAGGTGGAACACCATCAACAACAACAACAACAACAACAACAGCGACACCGACACCAAATGAATATCTTCAAGCACCACCACCATCATCAGGAGTTCGTTTTTATGCATATCAATCAAGTGAAAATGAAATATCTCATCAACAACAACCACAAATGTCAAGTAGTGAAGAAGATGATCATGAAGGAAGTAATACATTTATGGATAAAGTTCGTGGTACAACAAAAAAAACTATTCAACAAGCTGAAGAAGGTTTTATTAAATTAGATCATGCTATACGACAAATTCGTACAAATATTCAAAAAAAATAAAATTTCTTTTCTTGACTTATTATGTATATTGTAAAATTTATATTGAAGTTCCTTTAGTTTGCCGGTGAGTATTATATTCCTTGAGTTTAATTCATTTTCTTTCTTTTTTTCTTTTGATGTTCGTATAAATGTAGAAATTTATCGTTCCTGTTCTTTTCTTTTTCGTTTGATTTCTTTTTGTCTATTAAAATGCATTAAAAAAATAAATAAAGCATATGATAATACTATTTGTGTTATTTCGTTTTTGTCATATTATATTTCAAATATTTTATTGTTTGTATAGTTTAAACAAGAAATAAAGAAGAGAGAAAAAAAAACTGAGATTTTATTTTTTTTTCTTCTTCTTTTTCTATATAAAAATCTTTTTATCTTATTATGAAACAATGTGATATTAAAGCATTCACTAGATTAATATATATTTCATTTCTAATGTTATATTTTAATCGATTGATAATTCAAGTTCGAAAGAAAAATATTCGATCCTGTTTATTAAGCAAACAAATGAGAGAACTATTGATGACCAAATGGGTCGCTATTCAATAGTATGATTATTTCAATGTAAAGACAATAGTAGAAAATAAAATTCAAGAATGATACTGATAATATTTTTACGAACAAGGAAAGGACTTTAAATGTATTTCCCGAGTGTCTTCCAAAGAAAAAAAAAGCATGCGGACTTATCTAGATGCTGAGACCATTTCAAGTAGAAGTGATAAACAAAAAAGAAACATTTTGTTTACTTCGTTTTATAAATAGAGAGAAGATTTTAAAAAAATGGGTGATACTGATTTTTCCGAGTCAATAAAATAGTTCGAATATTTTATAAAAATGATCAGTGAGAATTCATACCATTAAAAATTAGACGTAATGGATTGGGTATCGTAATACTTTTCTTCGTTCATGTATCCAATAAATCCGATAACTATCATGGTCACAGAATAATATTATTTCTAAAGTAGAACTGGATATTTTTTTTGTTTCATTTATTTATAATAAAAATAAAAAGTGACGTCAATCAGCGCCTTTAGACCTTCGCGCAATATCACTGATTTCTAATCTATCTTAAACTCCTATATTTTCTTTTTCAATTGAAAGAGCAATTATCATTAGACCAACAAAAAAAAACTCCATATTTAATGTCTTATTGTTTTCTTAAATTGTAGATAAACATTTATCATAATAATGGTGATCAAGAAACACATCATTATCGAGAGTTCGATGATGAAAATTCAAAATTGCATAAATGCTATAATATAATCGGTAAATTTTTATTTAATCTAAGTTTCAAGAACATCTAGTGGTATTCCATCATGTGGAATATTTCTAATTAAATAAAAATCTCTTTATTAAATAGAAATGATATTTTGTTATTGGAAAAGATTGATGATAAAAATAATTTTTGTTTGTATCAAATATGAATTAATCAAAAAAATACTTGACAATATTTTGTGTTATGCGTATGTATTTCTTTTTTTTTTCTTTTTATGTGATATTGGTTTTTTTTTTGTTTTTCTTTAGAGGTGATTTTTCGATGAACAAAACAAATGAATGAATTATTAATTGATTCATTGTTTAATTTCTTTAAAATTAATATGTTATTAGAAAATGATAATTTTTAAAATTATTTTCATAACAACGATCAATCACAACATCAAAAAAGAAAAACAATTTCTATATTATTTCTTTCTCTTTAGAAGAAATGAATAGAGAATTTTTTGGAATTTCAAAAAAAAATCTATTATTACCTATAAGAATTTATCTTAGGTGTACTTTTAAAATTTTTATTTTTCAAGAGATTATATTTTTGTTGTTTCGAACATATTTAATTACTAATCGCTGATCGAATAAATATGTTTCTCATAAATAGGATTCAATGAGATTAGATAAAGTGTCTGAAAGGATTTGTCTTCATCAGAGAACTGTAAAATGGTCCCGCAAGACCAAAAATTATTTTTTACGGGACCGGAACTGAAACCATTTTTTAGCTGGTCCTGAAAAATTATTTTGAATAAAAAAAAGAACTCAATTGTCTTTTCAAGTCGATTGATGATCAATAATTTCTTTTATGATGTCATAAAAAAAACCGATGTTTTCAAATATCTATTAACATTAATATGTTTATAATATTCACATATAGACTATTAAGACGATTTATAAGAGCAGAATCAGAAATATATCAAACAAATAAAAATAAAGTTAAATCTTCGTTCAAAAAAAAAATCGATTGAATTAAATAAATTTTGTTTTTTTTTTCTTCTATAGTTTTATTTTAAACATAGATTTTAATATCAAAACGAAAATATTTAATCAAAGATAATTCATTCAATTTCAATAGTCTTATGAAATATTCTATTATTTATTTAAAAAATTTTTTATTTTTCTAGATTAAAAAAAAAAAAGACATTATGGAATCATCTCAACTTATTCATTGGCTTAAACAATTAACTGAACCAGATACAGAAAAAGTTAAACAAGCAACAAAACAATTACAAAATCTTTCATTAACAAATGATTTTCTTCTTCAATTATTTCATATACTTCATTCTGAACAAAATGAACAAATACGTATATTAGCATCTGTATTACTTCGACGTAAATTATTAAAATCATCATCATCAATAATATCAAAAAATATTCATGAAACATTAAAACATCTTTTACTTGAACAAATACAAATTGAAAAAAATCAACGTATACGTAAATCATTATTTGAATTAATTGGTACAATAGCTAAACAAGATTTACAACATGAAATAATTGATAAAACAAAAAAAAAATCTAAAAAAAAATCTAATATTGAAACAACTGGTTGGAAAGAATATCTTCATTTATGTGGTACACTTGTACAATCAACAGATATAAAACAACTTGAATTAGGTATGTATCTTTTTGCTACATTAGCAATATATTGTGGACGTTTTGTACTTGAACATTGGCCACATACATTTAATCTTATAACAACTATGTTAAAAACACGACCATCAATAATTGTTTGTGAACAAGCTTTAATTATTTTAACTAATCTTGTTAAAGTATTACAACAAAAACATTATGTACAAACTATTGTTGATATTGTACCAATTGCTAATGAAACTATACAATATCTTTTTATTAATCTTACGGTAATTATATAAAATATTTTTAGGAATATATTGAAAGAAAATTTTTTTGAAAGGTATAATCGATATTGTAGCTTTGTTTATTTGATATTTTATGAAAAATAGAATTGAGAAGGATAAAATTTGCTTGTCTCCCTAAAAATTTCAAATTTTTTTCTTTTTGGAAATCTTGGAAAGAATATAAAACTTTTTCATTCAATGTTATATTTGTATGTTTATTTAATTGAATTTTATTAGGCTGAAAATACAACAAATCTCTTGGATTTTTATGAAGCATTACTTGATTGTGAAGTACCAAATGTTATTGGAACACATCTTCAAAGTATTATTTCAACTTGTCTTCAAGTAATATTTTAATTAAAACATCTTATTGAGCATTTTTCATTTAAAAAGTCATTTATATCCTTTTGTAAAACAACTCGTAACACATCGAATCATATAACAAAATTGCTTTTTTTTTTCATCAAGTTTTTATATTATAGCAATTGTAGATAAGATAAACAAATATTGTTTAAAGTTACTTTAATAGAATTTAGTCTCATATTCAACTATGTATATTTAATAATAGCTTTCTTCGTATCCTAATCTTAAGCATTGGTAATTTTTAACTTGTAAGACATACTCTATAAGCATATCAACTGATTGTGTGCTATATTCGAAGATGAGCACAGGACACAGCGAGATTTTGATTTTTGTCCTGTGCTCATCTCTGTTATATATGGATGTATGTCATGGTCGAATGAGCCAATCAATACCTGAAAAATTTTTCGATTCCTGTGGAGCTCTCTATTCGATTCAATACATTCTTAGTTTTTGATGAAAATTAAAAACTTTGATATGATGCAAATTAGTTCAGAGAGCAATTAAGTTATATACTTATAAAGTTTGGTTGCACTATTCTTTAAGGATCCCCACCTCTTTTATGACCAAAAACTTGGTTTCGAGCTGAGCCTAAGATATGATAGCCTGAAGTGCCATATGCAACTAAAGACATTAGTCAACTCTAAATACCTTACTTTTACAGAGTTATTGGATTGAGAAAATTGTTTTTTTTTCATAGTAATCATATGTAACCTTTTCCTTTTTCTTAGCGTTACGTAAAACAGCAATTTTCTAAGTCTTGGTTGTTTATGACCCCCCTTAACTTTATCCGATCGGGCTGAAATTTTTACTACTAATACTTGAAAGTATTCGCCAGATGTAAGATCGAGTGTTTTTATTTTTGACATTCCTACTCGGAGCTACCGGGTCCTGGAAGCCAAGACCCGGGACCAAAATCCGAGTACTGGCGTATTTCTCTTATAAAAAAGAAAAAGAAAGTGAGATTTTTGAAAAAGCTTAAATTTACCTCTGAGGAATAGTCTTAGGTATCTAAAAAAAATTCAGCTCAATCAGACAAACGTAATGTATCAGGACACGGGCCTTTGGAAAATGTGTTTTCCAGAAAACCCCACAAAAACTTACTTCAATCTTTTTTTCCTCGAATACATATCTCTTTATTTTTAGTTCTCTATGTGTGCTAAAAATTTCAGCTTGATTGGTTGTACCGTCTTCGAGAACCAGAAAGTGTCAAAAAAGGGGGTGGGGAGGGGTATCTTTAATTAGTATATGACTGTTTAGAATGTGTAAATTTAATGAATAGGAAACTCCTTATATATCATTCAGCATGCTACGAGTTGTTTTATAAAATTGTATAAATGGTTTTGGAAATGAAGGATAATTATCTTATTTTCTTTCTATTGAATTCTTTATTTATAGATTGCATTAAGAAATGATAATACTGTTCTTGAATCTGTACGTTATAATGCTTTGAGTATATTAGCTGAAATTTGTCGACAAAAGAAAAAAACTTTATTAAAACATCAAACAATTCTTCCACCAATTATTCAAGCATTACTTCAAATAATTAGTTCAACAGCTATTGATACAAATACTATTATTGATGATAATGATGATGATGAACCTGTTGTTGTTGCTGGTGCTAATCATGTACTTGAAGCTATGTCATATCATTTATCTCCAGAAAAATTTGTACCATTAGTGGTTAGTTTTATTTTGAGAGAATTTAATTTTTTTGAAATAAATAAATTTTTTTTTGTTTACAGATTTCACAAGTTGAACCAATGTTAAAAAGTAATGTTTCAAATGAACGTAAAGCTGCTTATTATGTTCTTTCGGGTATAATTGATGGTTGTTGTGATTATATTAATAACAAGTAAAAAATAAGAAATATTTTCTATAATTATGATTTTTTTTATAAAATTTATAGTTATCTTGAACCATATATGACAGCACTTAAAATTGGTCTACAAGATACAAATTCTGATGTATCAAGTGCAGCTCTTTTAGCATTAGGTGAAACATGTGCTGTATTAGAAGTAAATTTCTTTTAAAATAAAATTTTTTAATTTTATTATAATTATTTTTTATTTCATAGGGTGAAATATCAAAATATTCAGTAGAAATTTTACCTATTCTCATGGAACTTATGGTTAAATCAGAAAATATGCATGATCATAATCTTAAAGTTATACGAATTTATTATGCTGTTGAAGAACTTATTGGAGTTTTGAGTAAGTTTTGAATAGAGATTAAACAAATAATTTGATTCATATATCAATAATAATAATATATACATCATAGATTTAGTATGAGTATCTAACAATCTGATAAACAAATTCAGAGGGATCCGGACACTTGCTCGCTATAGGACAGATATGTCCATGGCGGCGCTGCCGCTGCCGCCGTGGCGGTGGCGACGCGGCAGCGGCAGGTTTCTTAAAAACTCATCGCGGCAGCGGCAGCATTTTTTTTTCGAGGACATTGAAAAACTGCATGAATTTAATAGAATTTCATTGTTTACAAATGAAACACCCCGAGACTGAATGAATCTGATGGACTAGTACCAATATTTCTGGTCCAATACAGTTGCAGCAGTGAAAATCGAAACACTTTTGAAAACCATCGCGGCAGCGGCAAGTTTATTACTCATCGCGGCGCGGCAGCGGCAGGGGTTCAGCCGCGATGGACATCTCTGCTATAGGATCCTATGTAACTGTTATAGCGAGCAACTGTCCTAAACTCAAATTTAGAATTTGATTATTGGAAGAGATTAGTTGTGCTGTCAAGAGGGATCGGCAGCTTGAGCACTTCGATTGATCAAAACTAGACTAGCTAAAATCGTTCATTAACCTTTTCGTCAGATAGAGTCTTGAAAAAAGCAATAGAGATTTTCATCTTGAAGTTTTTGAACCTTAGGACAGGAAAACAAGTGTTGAAGTATAGAATGGACGCCTTCCTTTTACAAACTTTATTGATCTACAATTACAATAACATCTTGTTATAATATATTTCCTTGTTGCATTGCTGAAGAACGATCATGAAGAAATGTATTTCAAAATAGAAAGAATACAATAATCGCGTTAGGATAAACAACAACTTCTAATCTCACACAGGGATTGACCTAATAGTTTTTAATATATATTGAAATCTACTTTTTCTCTCTCGAATATAATTCTGTCATTCGACTCTCTTCTTCCACTATCAAAATCCTAGTTAAATTGACTTTATACTTTAATTAAGAAGCTAAAATCTAAATTTATTTATTTTTATTTTATTAAAATTTTAGATGATGAACATAAAAGTTCAATTCCTGATGTACTTCAAGTTCTATTTCATGTTCATGCTTCAACAACAAATACAAAAGTTCGAGAATTAGTATTAGCTGTTTATCCAGCTATTGGTAAATATGAAGAAAAAAAAAACATTTTTTTTTTTTTTTTTGTCTAAAAATTTAATTAAATATGTTTTAGCAACTGTTATGAAAGATAAATTTGCTCCATATCTTGATCCAATTATAACTCAACTTTCACCTAATCTAAATCAAAAACCAAATACAGAAACATTACCAGTATTTTGCACATCACTTCGTAAAAAAAAAGCTTTTTTCTTATAATTAATATTTTACTAATATATAATTAAATATATTAGATACACTTGCTTCACTTTGTCGTGCAGTTGGAACTGATCATTGTAAAGCAATATTGATACAAGCATTGGATTTTTCACTTAATCTATATAAAGAAATTGATGAACCTGAATTTCGTTCAGCTATGTAAATAAATACAAAAAAAAAATATAGAAGACAAAAAAAAACTTTTATTTATTTAGATTTTCTCTTGGTGGAGCAGCTAGTCGTGTATTAAAAAATGAATTTAATATAGTTCATATTAATAAAATTATGGAACATATATTTGAATCTCTTCGATCACTTGATTGGATTGAAGTAATATTGATTTTTTTAAAAACTTTCTTTTTGTAATTTAAAATATTAAATAAAACAAAAAAAAATTTTTTTTTATGTAGGATGTTGCAGCAACAGAGAGTCGTAAATTAGAATGGGTTGATGAAGAAGATATTGATAATACATCAAATACAATTCATGATGAACATGAAGTAAAAATTGAAGAAGAAGAAGAAGACGATGATGACGATGATGATGAAGATGATGATGATGAACGGTAAATCAGATGATTTATATATATATATCTTAATCGTATTAAAAATTATTAATTTATTAGAATGACATTTGAAAATGCTCATGTCGAAGAAAAAGCAGCTGCAATCGAAGCATTGGGTGATATTGTTGAAAATTGCATGTAAGAAAAATTTCTATAAAATGATACTAACGAGGGAAAGTCTCCAAGTGTAAATCGCCGATCGAACTGATATTTTGTTCATAAATAGGACTCGACGAGACTAACAGAAACCTAGAAAGGTTGTTCGTCTTGATGCCATGTCCTTTCCGAGTTATTACCATTTTACTGAATTTTTTATCTATGACAATTGTCATAGATAAAAAATTCAGTAAAATGGTAATAAGTCGGGACGAACTATTCTTGATTTCTGCTAGTCTCGTCGAGTCCTACTTATGGACAAAATATCAGTTCGATCAACGATTCGCAATTGAAGACCTTCCCTTGTAAGTAGTAGAGTTCAGCAATTTTAAAAAGTATTTTGAACTAAAACTGCGGTTTTGGTTTGGTATTATATGTGTTACATCATTGGAATCCATCAGGTTGGTCCCGAATGGATTCTAGCCGTTAGAGAAATATGTAAGGAATCTATTCGCCGGTAGCGCGATTAAAGATTGTTGATAGTTTTATTTAAAACAATCAAATTTATGAAATTATTCGTGTTGTTCTTATAGTCAAATTCGATTGATCATCTTTTGAATATTTTTCTTCCGCGCTCTTATTGATGATCGATCGTATCATATCCTTCTTCATTAATTCTAATGTTGTTCATTGTTAAACTTGATAAAATATGCATCAAATACAAATTCTAAGTTAGTATTCGAAAACTATTCAATCAGTTCCGGATAATGTCGAATTTAATCCTTTTTTTATGATTTATTTTAATTAATTAAAATTAATCAATATTTAAGATTAAATCTAAACTTTTTTCGAATTTAATATATATCTCTATATAGAGTTGCTGTTTGGCCATATTTAAAAGATATAATTGAACATATAAAAAATATGTTAGAATTTCCAAATGTTCAATGTTCACAAAATGCAGTAACAGCTGCAGGAAATCTTCTTATATCAATTCATAAAATGACAATACAAACACAAATAATAAATGAAAAACAACTTGTTCAAGATGGTATAAATATTGAATCTTTTATTTTTTGTATAATGTTTGCAATAAAACAATTTATTCTGTTTTTCTAGAATTAGATCGTTTATTAGATGATTTAATACCAAATTTATGTACAATTATAAATACATCAACAAGTCGTTCATTAGCACAAATAGCACTTGATACAATAAAAAATATTTTAGAAGAAGTTAAATTAGATATGCTTAAACATATAACATTATTAGAAAAAATTGCACATTGTATTCAAAAAGTTCTTGCTTATAAAGTAAGATAACAAAAAAAAAAAAATATAAAAAATATTAATTTGTTTTTTGCTAAAGACTAAATGTCAACAAGAAAATGATGATGAAAATGATGATGATAATGATAATCGAGAACACGATGGTCGAGATGATGCTGAATATGATGCTATGTTAATATCAACTGGTGGAGATCTTTTACCTATATTAACATCAATTGCATGTATTGGTAAAGTTCAATTTTTTCCTGGTTATCTTTCATCAATTATACCAAAATTACAAAAACGACTTGTTAGTTAAAATATTTTTTATTTTTTTTTTTTTTATAATTTTCTTATCTATAGAGACATCAAGCAAGTGTATCTGATCGATCATTTGTTATTGGTGTACTTGCTGAAACAGTACAAAATATGAATGAATTATTAATTACACCATATTTACAATCACTTTTTACGAGTATTGAATAGGAGTCGACAAGCTCAGTTCAGTTCCACTCAGAGGAACAGTTCTTTTGAGCTGAGCGGAACTGAGCTGAGCTTGTTGATCCCTAGTATTGAACATTTTCGTTTTTTTTTTGTTGTCTAGTGTTTTATCAATATTTAATTGATGATGATGAAGAAGTACGAACAAATGCATGTTTTGGTATGGGTGTTCTTTGTGCTATAGCTAATCAACAATTACTTAGTCAATATGAAACAATATTAAATCGTCTTTCTCATGTTTTAATTAAAGAAACAAATATACGTATGATTGATAATATTTGTAGTTGTCTTTGTCGAATGATTGTTGTTTCATCAAAACATGTACCACTTGAACAAGTAAGTTTTTATAATTAAAAAAAAAGAAGAGATATCAAAAATTAATTCATAGAATTTTTTATAATATAGAATAATTAAATAATACTATTCTGTATGTTAGAGTAATTTTTAAAACTGATGAAAAAACATATTCGAAAGTTACAAATGCTATTTGACTTCATAGTTTAACATGTTGTTTGTTTTTTTTTTTGATGTTTTGTAAAAACGTTTGATTTTAAAATGATTTCATCTTTATACAATATTGGAGAAAACGATGCCCTAGTGTTGTCTCTTTCGATTGGTTAAAATGTGCAGCTCTCTAACTCTTTCAATTATTGAAAAAATAGCCAGACAAACAAATGAGTAGGACTTAGCGTGAAGTTAGAAATACCTTCAAAACATTCGGTTTCATGTATTATTCAGTTGTAGTTATATATATAGGCATTTTATTTTGAATTTTTAGCATTTCGATGGACCAATTATTCATAAAAAATTTAATTATAAGATTTTCTTTTCTTGAGATATTCAGTGTCACAAAACAAACCATAGAATTGAGTTGTATTAGACATTCGACTGGCCATCAGAAACTAAAAATCTACTCAAAATTGTCATAACTTTGAAAACATGTTCCTGATTCCTTTTAAAAGTGATGTAGGAATCTGCTGGAAGACAAATTCATAAACCTAGAGTAACTATTAGCGAAGCCAGAAATGAATTTCTGTATTTTGAGAGATAGAATTTTGTATTTCTTAGTCTGATATTATAATGATCTTTATAAGAATGGCAGAAGATTTATCTATACTTAAGCCCCCTCAAAAAAAGTCATTTTTCGTCAGAATCATTGAAATTGAGGGACATTCATTGGAAAGTAGCCCGTCATCTACTCTTTCATATGCGACAAAAATTTTGGAAGATTTTCGTCACCCCCTCCTATTCGAAAAACAGGCCGTTTTTAGAAAAAACTGAAAATCATTTTTCGTTTTTCTCAGAACGTCCGTTCAAGGACGTATCTCCAGCCGAACTTCATCACAGTAAGAGGTAAAGTCAAATATTTGTTTTTGTTTGAAAGCTTATGTGCAGGGCTAGCGACTCTCGTGGTCGTTTTTTTAAAATAAGCTTTTTTTATTATCATAGAAAATAACCTCTATATCGAAGCAGCGCAATTTTTATAGAGGTTTTTTGAGTCATTGAACTTTCGCTCCGGTTTTTTCCCCTAAAATGTAAGACTTTAAAAAGAAAAGGGCCACGAGAGTCGCTGCATTCTGACATGCTCTTTCAAACAAAAAAATATTAAATGTCTAGAATGAAAATCCACAGAGAAAACCTAGAGATACTAAAGAGCTATTTTTGGCCCTTGTTTGGTGCATATCTCGATTAAACATCGTGCTATAGGGCTGAAAATTTGACCATAGCCATACCTCACCAGCCCCAACATATCCTGAAATTTTCATGTCATTTGAATGTTCCTAGGCTGAGATCCATTTTTGAGGGGGGCTTTAATTGATATGATTAAAGGAAATATCTATTGATTTAATACATTATAAAATTTTTTTCATCCTCGTTTTATTTAAACTAATATTATAACGAAACGTCATTGATATATGATCATAGACCGTATATCAATAATATCTATGAGAAAAGACAGTTGGAAAATGGATTCAAAATTCGATCTCTATACTTCAACATTTCCTTTAGACTATTTTTCATAAAACTGTAACAGTCAATCAAACTGTCTATATTAAATATTTCATATACTTTTTTTCTATAGGTTTTACCTGTTCTTTTTCAACATTTACCAATTCATGAAGATTTTGCAGAAGCTAATTCGATATTTACTTGTCTCAATCTACTCTACGAACAACATTTTACTCAAGTAAATATAATATTTTTTTTTTTTTACATTTTTATAAAATTTGTTTAATAGATTGAACCATATCTTCCAAAATGTATCGAAATGGCAGCATCAATAATTGATGATGAACGTATTTTACCTGGTAAAATTTTTTAAATTTATTTATATTTAACATTTCGTTTTTTGTTCATATATATATGTAGATGCTGTTCCAATAATTCGTGAATTTCTTCGTTCAATCTATATAAAACATAGTGTTGCTTTTGTTCAAGTAATGCAAACACTTAATGAACCATTACGTGTTATTGTTACAAAACATCTTCAAATAACTTAACAAAAAACGATTTTGTTTTTTCTTTTTTTATATTGTTAATCAATTTCGTTTTTTTTTGAGTTTGTTTTTACTTAAGAAGAAGAAGAAAATTAAAAAAAAAAAACAAACAAATCAAAGATCGTATTTTTTTGTTTCTAAACGATCTTTGAATTAACAAAATAAATAAAAAGATACTAAGAAAATATTTGATTTTCAATTATGAAAAGTTAAACTTATAGATAGGTTAGAGATAGACTAGAATAAATCAGATCTTTATATTTCCAAAAGAAATCAATGATAATTATCATAGACATTTTATACATCTGATATCTTCTTATTCATTCAATTGAGGTAAAGAATGTATATTCATAAGAATGCTTGAATCATTTTACATATAGTAACAAGCATTCGTTTGATTATTTTTTTCAGGCTCTTATTCTATCATTTACTAATATTTGTTTGGATACTACAAAAAAATAAAAATGCATAAATCTATTTCTAATAACATGTTTTGAAAGTTGACGATATAGATTAACTGCTTCGGATTTTTGATAAAAATCGCTTATCAGTGAAGACTTTCATAATGTATCGTTTGATATTGAAAAAAATATCGAAATCGAGAAACTATTGAAATAGAAAAAAAAAGAAAGGTTGAAAAGCTTTTGAGAAAATTTCAATCATCAAAATTCGCTTTTTATTTGTAGTGTGATTAGAGCCCGTCGGGTCCAGAATTTTTGGACCCGGACCCGGACCCGGACCCTGGCCCAGGATTTTGAACCTGGACCCGGACCCGATCATTTAAAATTTTTCTACCCGGATCCGGACCCGGACCCGTTTACAGGTTGCTGGACCCGGACCCGGACCCGGTCGCTTAAATTTTTTGGATCCAAACACAATAACAAGTCAGTTTAGATACTATAGTCAAGAAGGGTTTTGTTGTTTTTTATCTATTTTCTAAATACATTTGATCTCTTCTTTGTATAAAACGAACAAAACTTTAAAAAAATTCAAAATAAATTGTATGGATCAAAGTTTTCTTCAGACCTGGATCCGGTTAAAGCAAAATTTTCAGACCCGGACCCAGACCCGGACCCGGTCAAAGTAAAATTTTTGGACCCGGACCCGGACCCGGACCCGCATGGGTCCGGGTCCGGGTCCTACCCGACGGGGTCTAAGTGTGATGCTAATATTTTAGCAGATATCATACATAAAGAAAATATTTACAAAAATATCATTTTTATTTTCACTTCATAACTAAAAAGAACAAATTATTTAAATATTCTATTGCTTCTATATATGTAAATAAGGGTTAAAAGAAGGCTTATATCTTTTCTCCATTTTTAATCACTATTATAAAGTATTACTCATTTACGTTTACTACTATTTACTCATAATTCAGAAGGGCATGCTAATTTTTATTTCCAGGACATTAAAACTTTTGCGTATAACTATTCAACAAATGATTGTCACCTAAAAAACACATCTGTAAATGTCTATGAAGTATAACTGTGATTGATTTTTATACATTGAATTCAAAGGATACAAGTTGAATCATGAGCGTTCACACAGAAGTGACAAACGATCCTTTCAAAAGTTATATAAATGTTTATGTCTACATCAATATATTTGTCAAATAATCATTATGAACTGTATGTTCGTGACAACACTTTGCGTTATTATATGATGTAAATAATTATAAGTGTTTCTTTTTTTACTTTATAATCTATATGTAACAATATCAAAATAATACTTTTTTTCAACAAATATTTATATGCGTAAAAGAATTAAGAAGTTTATTGCGGTGAATGTGTTCTATTTTTAGAGAAAGGAAAAAAAAAGCCACTATCTCAGTAAATTTGTGAATAAACTATTAAAATTATTAAATAATGCTATTAATTATTTATCAAATGATGATAAATGTAAATATTCTTAAGGTTTCTTTATTTAAATAATCAATTGCATCAAAAACTTTATCTTTTTCATTCATATTCAGATATCAAATATCGATATTAGTAGTTATTATCTATCATGAAACTAAATAGAAATTTATTCATTTCAATAGGATAAGTGATGAAAGATTTCATAATTTTCTTACTATCAATAATTTATTTGCTAAATAAAGAAATCAATTATATTTTTTGTTTATTTATATATATTCTTTTTTTTTTTAATTTTATAGAATAGTTAAAAAATTTAGTAATATATCTATATTGAAATGTATGTAAGTAAATATAAGAATTATATTTCTATAAAATACATTCAATCAAATTCTTTCATTAATTTTATTTATAAAGCTACAATAATTGTCTTTTAACATCTATCATTAATATTAATATTCAAATTTAAATATTTCTAAGAAAAAAAGGCGCTCGATTTTGATATACGAATGCCAAAAAAATGAATGATATGGAACGTAAGGTCAATTATAAATAGAAATACTTGATAAAATACAATAATGTATAAGTATCTTGAATAAATTCTATACAATTAATCTTATAAAACTATTCGACAATTTCTAATTAATTGAAAAATTCAACAAACAAAATTATTTTGTATAAATTATTTACAAATCTTCTTTTCTTTTTCATCTATTGTCTATAATATTACTTACATATGATTTATTAAAGATCTTATTCTATCTTTGATATATTAATAAAACAAAAATTTTCTTTTTCTTTTTTTTTATTATCCGAATAATCTAAAACTAATATGATGATGTAATTTGACATTTTTTTCTTTTGTCTATATACATAGCTTAACAAAATATAAAAAAAATTTTTATTTATTTATATAAATAATAAAATTTTTTTTGTGAAATACATAATCATTCATTTTAATGATCCAAAAAAAAGAATTGACGTATAAAAATTCATGTTTAATTCAGTACATGTCAGATAATATACACTGATCTATCTATATTTGTATATGTATGTGTTTAATTGATAAAAAGAAAGTCTTAGAAATAAATTATAAAGAAAATCTGACATTAATTATAATAAACATGTTTCAAAAAAGAAAAATGAGATTATCACTAATTTACAAGATAAATCTTTACATAGATTGATTTAATTAAAATAATTTATCTACTTTTTATGACATTATTTAAGATGAGATTATTTATGTAGGAGTAAAGAGAAAAAAACATATATAACTGTATTGATTTAACATGATTATTTTCAGTCCTTACTTATTTTGAATGCATTTGTCATTATGTAAGTATATTTAACAAAAAAAAAAACTTATTTACATTACATAAAATACAAATAGAAGTTTTCTTTGAATTGTATAAATACTTAGATTAAGAATATCAATTATAACTATAGAAATTCATTGATGTATAAATTGAATATATTTTTCATTATATTAATTTTTTTAACTAAAAAAAACTACGTTTATTTTGATAAGAAAAGTTACTCTAATGTATGTATCTCTTTTGAGATTGTCATAAAATTGACAAATATTATCTTGTTAGTTCTTTGGTAATAAGAAATTATTTTAAATCAAATACAAATATTCATAACGTTTCGAAACGAGTATTTCAATAGTTGTTAACGAAGACATCCGATGTATATACAATCAAAGTGATCAATCGTACATAGTTCTTGATTATGACTAAATACGATTGTATACAATAGTGATATACATCCATCGCATAAGTTATGCCTGTAGCAGTTTTCAGGACGAGTTATTGCGATTTTTTTTTAAAATTCTAATACCTGTTACTGTTTTTTAATTTATTAGATCTTAAGGATATGAATGTTTTCTATAACAAATCTACTTAAAAAAGAAAATACTATATTTTATATACATTCAGTAGGATATAGTTATTCGATATTATGTAACTTGATTATCAAAAGAAAGTTCTTAGTAAAAAAAAACAAAAAAGGTTGTTAGAACATTTTCTACGAGTTTTACGTATGAAACACAATGTACTTGTTATTATGAACATATTTTTTCATCATAGAATGAAGGGAAAAGGATTATATTTTTATCTGTATACTTCAAAATCTCCTTTATTTTAGATCGTATTTTAACAAATAGTGAACTGGATTAGGATTTGAATTTCAGGTGTATGAATCAAGAAACTATCGTTTTAACTAGTCAACCATCTGGTATTGTTAGTTAGTTGTAAAAGTTTTAGATGGTTGATTATTGATATGAGAGTTAGTCTTGTTATTTATGAAACTTATCTACTAGACAAAAATTAATCCAACAATAAATTAATTTATTTTATAGTAAAGCAATTAATAGCGGTAGCTCCTAAAATTTCAAAATTTGAATAGAAGGCGAAGTCAAAATATCGTCAATCGAATATTTTTTAATATGCGTTATAATTTGATGGGTAACAGTGTTGTTTCTTTCAATTAATTCTAAATGTAAAAATAGTGATTATTAATAGTGTTCGAAATACATTGCCTTAAAAATAAGATTATATTAATCCCTCGCCTGTAGGAAGGGTCATATGAAATAAAATGCGTTTGTCTGTCTGTATGTATGTCTTGTTGTGGCAGGTCAAAAAAACCATTTTTTTCGAAAATTTTTTTTTAATGCAGAAACAAACATTTGTGAGAAAACTGCATTAATATTTTCTTAATGAGGTATTTCGATAAGACTCTGATTTTTCAGCTGCAAAATGAAATTGAAGAAATCAGAAATAGTTCTCAAAGAAGCTTTGGTTTAGAAATCTCCGTCGAGAATTCTCATGCTATAGATCTAATGGTTTTTCGAATTAAGAGAAGTTTGGATTAGATGAAGTGTGAATAAAAAAGGATGGTGCTGTGGAGAAATAGAACGAAACATAGCAGCGGCTAGTCATGAGTGGTGCCAACGAACGACTAGCCGCTGCACTACAAAGTCCCTTAAAGAAATGCTTGAAGCTGCTGGTATTCATCAAATAGACATCAAGAGTCTAGGTCATACGGGTTTGAATAAGGAGTAGCAGTTGCTAAGAACTGAGAAATATTTTGAAATGAAGTGCGAGAACGCCTTTTCTGCACGTGTGCTATATTTGAATAGTATAT